GTATGAAAAATCCCTCTCGATACAAATTAAAAATCACCGTAGAGGAATGACATGGACATGGACGAATTATAGAACAAGAAGAAGATCACATATGAAATCTTGACCTTATTGCTTAGTCTCTCTAATTAAAAGCTCTCTTATCTCCGAGGTGAAAATGGTCTCATAAACTCATTTATCCAAAAGTTAATTGGGCTCAAAATTAATTTTAGATAAAATTATATTTATTGTCATTTGGATTTTGCAAATTTGATTTATGAAAAAAAAAATTATACACGAAAATGATATTATGTATATTTACGGTAATTTTATAATTGGTGCTGGCGAGAATTTTATTTTATTTTTGTGCTAAATTGCTATTTTGAAAGTATTAATTTTATATAGCACAACCCCATTAGAATTGTTCATTAAGCTTTTCGTTTGTTTATGATAGGACAAAACTTCTAACAAGTAATAATAATAATAATAATAGCAATAATAATAATAATAATAATAATACGGTAATACTTTGGTGGGTCCAATTGTTTTTTAGCCAAATTCACATGATCAAAACTCAGCATTGCTGAATTTCTTGGTAAGATACTCTTGAATGTGACGCAATTGTAGAAGTAGCAGATCAAGGTTTGGTTAAGCAAGTCAATTTCGAGAGCAACCCAACACCAGTCACTGCCTGTGTTTTATTTTTTTGGTATGCGGTGTATCTCGATTGATTAATTTTTTTTATGATCTACTTAAAAATAAATTATTTAAATCGGGATTAAGAAATTTATGAGAAATACATCATGATCTATTCAAATTTCGAATTCATAATATTTGAGTTTATAACTTTTTCTTATCTACAATGGAAATTGTTTAAGATTTCTTTCTTTTTGTTCTGTTAGAATCATTCACCCAAAACTTCTTCCTTTTTTTGGGGGGTGAAACTGTCATTTGAATTTATTCCACAAGACTGGTGTAAGCTTTTTAATTTTTTTTTTGTCCGTCCCAGTGAAGGAAGGAATAGGATTGAACCCACGCTTTAATCCTAGAGCGAAGCATAAGGCACCAATACTGGTCAAAAAGGAATTATGAACTTCATTGAGGGTTTTGGAGACTATTCGTTAGAGGATTAGCTTATTGTTAAGGCATTGACGTCCTTAGGTGCTGGGGGACGCGTCGGGTTTGGGACCAATGGCCCAATGTCCTATTGAGCTACGGTCATGTCATGTCGAGCGCCTAAGGTCAGGTACTACAAAATGCCCATCAACACAAACCCGACACCAAAAAAAAAAGAGGCATAGGCCGATACCTCCAAAAAAAAATTTAATAGGATAAAAATATATTATATAAAATAATTGGGATAGAAGTACATACGTTAAAAAAAGGTCATAAAAATCCTTTTACCCCAACTATAAATAGTGTATACCTAATTGAAGGTGAGACTTTCAAGATTAGAATGTGAGATTTTCCAGATTCCTTTTGATATTTGTGTATTATTTGAATTTTAAAATTTCATATATATATACACACACACACGTAATACAGTGACAATGTAACAGTGACACGCTTAATAAAAAAATAGTAATATCAAACAATAACACGCTCAACAAAAAAGGAGTAACATCAAGCAGTAACACATTCAACAAAAAAATAGTAACACACTTAACAAAAAAATAGTAACATCAAACAGTAACACAAATATTTTTGTTGAGCGTGTCACTGTTTGATATCACTGTTTTATATATGTGTGTGTGTACATATATATGAAATTTCAAAATTCAAATGATACACAAATATCAAAAAGAATCTTGAAAGTCTCACATTCAAGTAGGTATGCACTATTTATAGTATGAGTAATTATGGAATACATTTTAAAAAGAATTTGAAAATGTGTACTTATTGACAACTATTTCATGAAAAAAAGACTTAAAGGAGAATAAGTTTGAAAGTAATACTTAAAATTANGGAAGATAAGTTTGAAAATAATACTTAAAATTAAATAAGTTTTGAAAAAGGTACTTACATCCTATTATCTTAAAAAAAAAAATGGTAGTTCTTTGTTTTACCTTGAAAAACGAAGCCAAGATCAGTAGACCAATTCGGGGTCTTGCTTGTTGCCTTGGCCATCTTAGCTACTAAACAAGTTTCCCCAAGCTAAATAATCTCCGAATCATGGAGATATATTGGGCCCAACTCGGTCCGATATCACCCTTGGCCTATCTTTGGAATTGAAGGAGTGGCATTGGGGTCAGTAGGCCCATGTACCAAATAAAACAGAAAAGAAATAAATAAAATGTGTTGAACAAATGATTCAATTACACATAATTAGACATGAGTTTTTAATCATTAACATATAATTGGTCCATTTTTAGACAGGTTCATGAGGGTCTTTTCTGGTCCAGCCCATATCTTTCATGGGCCAACTTAATAGCACCGTAACAACACTGCCTAGTATGGGAGTACCCATTAGCAAGTGGGATTATGATAAATGAAATTGATATGATGCACAAAATGGGTTTATGCAAAATTAATGAAGAGTGTGATGGTGTGTATGGTATATGTGATGCGGATGCTTAGGTGGTTTAGTTTGAATGATCTACTCTACTGGGAATGGTGACGGTGACAAAAAAAATTTACTACTCAAGGTGTGGTATGTTGGGATGTGTCCCCATATATAGATAGAGATTACTATTTATAGGCGAGTAAAATTTCATAGTGCCTCAAAGGAAGCCTTGATTGAAGCGTCATCACAAGAAGCCTTGATTGAGGTGTCACCCTCGTAACGAAGAACGGGTTGATTCCATGATGCCAGTATAGCCGGCGAGGTGGTCATGATTTTCTTCCTAAGATGGAAATTTCCACGTACGCTAATATTATACTGGGTCTTCTAAGATAGTGAGTTTAACCTTTGTTGGCCTGTATTTGTGATTTGGGTCTAGCTCATATTAGTGATTTGAGTCTGACCCACATCTGTGATCTAGACTTGATCTAAGTTGGGCCTGTCAAAAATCACAAGGTTCAAATTGAGCAAACAGATCACAATTTATTTGATTTATCAAATATATTAATAAAATGCACATTTGAGTTTTTTTTATCAATGAGACGACGATGTTCAAATTAACGACCATAAATCAAGAATGGTTTTCTATCAAAGATTAGTTTATATTATCTCTCAAATAAGTTGGTGGGGGGGGCTTTTGTAAAGTGTAAACACTGGGACAAAAGAGAAGTCGGGGCAGGGAGGTGATAGTGGACAGGATCTTCATGGACGGCAGGATCAGGATCACCACATGGCAACAAAATAAAAAGGAACGTCCTATTAATTCTGTATGATTCAATGTCACCCATCGGAGATCTGAGAAGTTTTACATTGTTTGTTTGTTAGTTATTTAACACAAAATATTTCTTATTTATTTTATATAATGACCAACCGCATAAATCAAAAACACTAATCATAATGCTTTAAGAATTATGCATTAAGGGTAAATGCATGATGCATAGAAAGGCTTGGAAACCTTTTCTCATAAGAATCTTAGTAGTCCATTTATCTCACATACATGTGATAATTATCAAGATAAATCTATCAACCCAACCATGTTATCATTCTTTTGAACTTTTTATTTCCTTTTCATTCTTTTGAGCTTTCTTTTTCCTTTTTATTGCTCTACACTTTGAATAAGCGAAGTGACCCACAATGCAAAGGTACAAATGGGTTTATTGGTAGAGCATTGATTGAGCAAAAGTGGAGAGAGATGACTTAAAACCAATATTAGTGGATAGACTACCCTTTAAAAAACGAAAGATCCAATTTTTCACCGACACATCTAAGATATGGCCCATGAGACACATAAGGAAGAAAGGTGTGAGTAAATGCCATGGTTGATGCTGCCACCGTCAGCATCAAATTGTCATTATGTAAAACGGTAGTTTCCAACACCACATTCCAAACACTGCTTACCTAACAAATCTGCCTCGTGGAAGGAGATAGGGACGACAACCCCCACGCCACCACCAAAATTCAAGCTGGGTTGAATTTATTTCGAGTATGGCCGTCAATCTCTGACAAGCTGTGCTGAAATGATTACGTTTGATTTGGTTTATTGTAATAAAATCTAATCCAAATCAATTCTTTTTTAAAAATTATAATAAATAGTGCGGTGTTCAAGATTAATACTATGTTTATCAAATTTTTTAATAAAAAATATTTTTATCAAATGAATTGACAACTCTATATCTAATTATAAATAATTTAATCAGTATTTAGTAGGTCCAAGAATAATCTCGAACTATCAACTCATTTAATTAAAACACTTTTTAATAAAAATTTTGGTATACATAAGATTTTTCTTTGTTCAAACTATGTAAGTCATGTATAGTTTATTTTGTGTTGAATTGAAGTTAATGTTGTGGATAAATCTTATTTATTAATTTTAAGAGATAGTTTAAGTGGTAACAGGGATACGTTGTAAATCCAAACGTTTTGAGTTTAAATCTTAACAACTTCATAGGATCATATCATGAGGAATTTATCCCTTATAAATATTTTAATTCAAAAATAGATGACATGTTTTTGACCAGATTAAGAAAAAAATTAATCAAAATGTACATAAATTAGTCCAAATATTCTTGACCATTGAACAAAAAAAAAATCTATCTTATTGGAATTCACATATTGTTTAATCAGTCCAATTATGAAATGGGTTACCATTAATGAGATGTAATGTTTTATAAAATACAAACAATTAATTCTATCCATATATGTTATAGGAGCGTTTTGTAGTTGGTTTCTTGTAATAAATATGTAAAGGTTACTCAAAAAAAAAAAATATGTAAAGAAAATATATGTTAAAACAAGTCTATTTTTATAATCCTTATAAGACCACATTGGTCCATTATGTAATGATTGCAATGTGGGACTACTGAACAAGAAGTTAGGCATTTCCAATTAACAAAAACTGAAGAATTCAAGGATTTTCTAAGTTTCAACTAACATTGCAATCACCCTTAATACTTTTAGCATAATCTCTCTCTCTCTCTCTCTCACACACACATTCCAAGCAGGCCTCTCTTTCTAAAGTGTCTGATACTTAGCTCTCTGTAAGTGTACTGTTCTGCTTTTTGCTTGATCAGTGTTAGTAAACTTTTAATCACTCATGTCAGCTGACACTATTCCATTAGAACTACCAAAGCTCTGCAAATTTCAGAGCTTACCCACATGAAAAGAACAAAACTTGGGTTCTTTCCACCTAACCCCTTCTTGTATATTCGCTACCACACTACCTTGTCATTACTTGCCAGTAAATATTTGTGGGTCTCCTTCTGTAATTTAATCATTTTTATGTTGTTCCTTTAAGCTATTCCCATGTTCTACTTCACTGAATTACTCAAATCTTTCTTTTTTTCTTTTCACTGTTTCTTCTCACTTGGAATGGTTGGGGGAGAGATGAAAATTCTTGAGGTTTGATCTCAATGTTACTTTATGAGAGAGATGAGGATGCAACAACTGATTCGTCTGTTGATGAAATTCTTTTTGTTGATCAGTGCTCTTTCACTTCATGGATGTGCAGGTAATGGGTTTGTTTTACTTTTCTGTTGTGTTTTAAGTTGTTTTACAGTTTTATTTTGGTTGATCCATATAGTTGTTTTGGTTAATTCCATGGGGGTTTTGTGGAATTTGAATGTGGAGTACGAGATCATGAAACTTACTATTCTCTGACCTAGAATTAGAATAAATGGTCGCTTATGTGATTGAGGTTCAATGTAGTTTAGTTCTTCGAGGATTGATATGCATTGGAAATGGGATTCTTCTGATATTAGTTTAGTTGCTACTTGCTAGTTGGAATTCTGGGTAAGCTTCATTTCACTGCTTCATGTTTAAGCATTAAGCTTTAGAATTATTGTCAAACTCTATGAATTCTAATTGCTTTTTTCTTTGAATGGCAATGAATTAAAAAGTATAAGAATGCAGAAGATCTACCCTGAATCTGAAGTTATCTAGCAGACATTCAACGGAATTTGATTTTGTCCATGTAGATTTCAAAAGAAAAGCAGTGCTAAACAGCCAACATTCTTAAATTTCAAGCATTTTTAGTTCTGGATGATGCGAACTTACAGTCAAAAATTCTTTTAGATGAATCTTGCCATATTTCTTTTCACGTTTTTGTTTTCTTAGGCTTTGTTTGGGGAGTAGGGAGGGGGTTACAGGGCACTTAATTTTGCCACATTAATCAGTCTGGAAGTGTTGCTTGAATTTTTCCAATTTTCCTAATAATGCACCATTGTTATCTGGTTTTTTCAACATGTTGTAAACATTGAAGTACTATTTCAAAGGTAGAAAAGTTGGTGCTGGTTCGTCCCTTAACACTGACGGATGTGTTATCAGGGACTGAACAATATTGGCATCCAATTTTTTTTTTTTTTTTCGGGTGGCTGGGGGAGCACTCTATTGAGGGCAGAGAAGTTATAGTTTAATATTGGTTGAACATCCAGATTTCCATAACCTATAGCCCCGCTAGTTACAACTTTTTTCCATCCCTGGTTATCCAGCCATTTGCACTAATGAATTTTCAGCTCTGTGCAATGGTTTCCTGGAACCACCAATGTCTTTTTTTGTTATAGTTTCCCCAAAACTATTTGAGTTTCTCTCCTAATCATATCAATACTCCAAATCATAAATTTCTTGCTCAATTTACTAGACGAGATTGTTCCTCTCCTCAACCACCCCTAAGGAACTGTCCACGCGAGCTGTAATTTATTTTCCTAGATCCCTATTCAGTACTTTATGATTGCTTTCAATTTTGATTTTTGAGCTTTGGATCATGTATGTTACTACTGGACATCTTGTATGCTTGATTTCTCCTTTTTTTTTCCTCAAAAAGAAAAGTTGTTTAATCTGTCCCAGTTCTTTATCATTTAATTGGTTTGAACTGTGATTACAAATAGTGTCAGTCAGTGAATTCCTGACCGAGATATATATATCCAATCTGTATTCGGTTTCAGGCTTTTATATACCTTCTCTCACGGCAGCTTCTGGGCTTCTTCATTTTAAAGTAGGAGCAACCAACCCAAGGTCTTACACAACCATCAGACCAAGTCCAACACTCCTGCAGAATGGTAATTTTTACTCACTAAGTGACTTACAAATTGCTACTGATTGATGCCATTACGATCCTGGAACCTTTTGAGGCTGGCTCCTGATTTTTCCACCTTCCAGTTTTTACATGTGATCAAAGCCTCTGCTGCCTAACCAACCACTAACGTCTTTGAATATTGTTTGACCATGCCATCTAATTGTGAAGAACTGAGTAGAGCTGCATCAATAAATTTATTTGCTTTCAGCTTCTTGGTCAACAACAATTGTTTTGCAACACTGCAAACTATTGAATGCTGACATATATATGTCCTAGAATGTTGAGACTCCTGAAATCAGTCAATCTCATGCTTATTTTCTACATGCAATCCTTAAAACTGAATCTATAATTCATGCTTATATCTACTAATGTTCAAATATTTTCTTCCTGTCATAGCCACCACTCATGACAATGCGATGGTTCCCTCCAACAATGCACATGCACCCTCCATGCCTTCTGTCAAACAGCCTGCCAAGAAACGGATACGTGATTCTGCATCTTCACCTTCAGTCTCATTCTACAAACATCATCATCATGGAAGGCACAAATTCAGCCACTTTGCCTCTGCTCCTGTGCCATCTAATCAGATTCCTACTACCCCACATAGCCAGCAAGGTTTTATCCTAATTGAAAATTTTCTCTATAAAATTATCTGCAATGCTTTACTTTGACAATATGTATCACTGACGTTCTTCATTCAGTTGGTCATTGTAACCGAAATTGCCTCAATTAGCTATCCCATATTGCTTTATTTTGGACAAACAGTATACTGACCCTTTGGAATATACTATTTTGCATACAAATGTAGGCCATTCAATCTCCTCATTTCATTCTTCCTTCCCTTCGTCAAAGAAATGGGGTTCGCCCGCTGCTGCACCATCACCTATAATTCCATCAAGCCAATCTGAAAGTATGCAAAAGTCCATTTCGTCTATCATTCCTAGTATAGAGTTTTCTACTTCATTAGTGGAAGTTATCGAAATATCCAATTTGTTGACAATGTTCTGTGGTTTCAGTGCCTACACATCCACCAACGATTTCTCCACTGAGCTATGTGCTGAAAAGGAATAAGACTCCACCACCCTCTCCAGTTTTGGCACTGCCTCCACCTCCTCCTAATGAAGGTACTTATATGTTTGGCCCTTAATTCTATATCTCTGACTAGCTTCCTCTAGAATTTGGTGTCAACCTAATATCATCACTGATGGTAACGGTTGTGTCTCACCCTACTTGTAGATTGTACATCGGTCGCGTGCACAGAACCATTGACATATACACCTCCTGGATCACCATGTGGTTGTGTTTGGCCTATTGAAGTTAGACTGCGCCTTAGTGTTGCCCTATATACCTTTTTCCCTTTGGTCTCAGAGCTGGCCAAGGAAATTGCGGCCAGTGTTTCACTAAACCGAAGTCAAGTTCGCATTATGGGAGCAAATGCAGCCAGTCAGCAGCTAGAGAAAACCATTATCATCATTAACTTGGTTCCATTAAAAGAAAAGTTCAATGCCACGACTGCATTTTTCATCTACCAGAAGTTCTGGAAGAGACATGTTTTCATAGAGACTTCCCTCTTTGGTGCCTATGAAGTGGTGTATGTTCACTATCCAGGTTCATTCAATCCTCAGTTGTTTCTGAAATCATCAATTACTAAATGTTCACCATAAATTTCTGTATAAAGCTGTGTTCAGGTTTAGAAACTTGAGAAATGTACTAATAGAACAATTTCCAGAAACAATCGTTATCACCATTCCCCTTTATTCTCGGGGAGCTAAAAGGCAGACTTCAGAATTCAGATCCTTTTGTTGAAAGCTATATACCCCACAATTCACACACTGCTTTGCCCATCTTGTATAAAGTAGGCAGCTTGGAAACAGAATATTCGGACGTTTCTTTTCTTTCTTTTTTACTATTGAAGCTGCTTGTGGACATTGTTGTGTCTTTTTCAGGGCTAAATCTTGTACTTAGCTATGTGCTTATGAGATACTCACAAGCTATATCTATATAGGTCTCCCACCCTCTCCACCTTCGAAGCCTTCAAGCGCTGCAACTATAGATGACCAGCCATATCCCCACCATCCTAATGATGGAATGACAGTAAAACCATTAGGGGTTGATGTGCCAAGGAGAAGAAAGGATGGGATTGGAGGAGGCATGATTGCTGTGATTGTTCTATCATCTATCACAGCTTTTGTTGTATGCATGGGAGTTATTTGGCTTTTGTTATCAAAATGTGGGGTCTGCCTTCATCAACCTGGACACACTCCACATGTTCTGGTTGCTTCCCATGGAAAACCATCAGGTATTACCATTATGATCAAATCTTATAACTCAACAAATACTTTGGGAAGTCAAATTGTGCATTACATTGTCATTCATTGTATATCCAAATACCATCCAATTAATTTGGATTTGCCAGAAATGTGTAAAAAATGTAGTTGTTGCTTTGCTCCATGTGGATCCAATGATATCCAAATGAATTTGATTTCCAATTCCTACTCATTCTTGCAACTTCCCGACTTTTGTCTTGGTAGTTGGCTTTCTGACTCATTTTGCTATTCACTCCTGTTTTTAGTCTCCTCTCCCTTGGATAATGTGGAATTCATACTAACAAAAGTAATAATTCAACAGGGGCAGCAGGTGCTTTGATGCTAGGATGTCAGGCCAGTTCAGCATCTATGTCCTTTGGTTCTAGCCTAATGGCGTACACTGGAACTGCTAAGATTTTCAGTTTGACTGACATAGAAAGAGCCACTGATTACTTTAATGCATCAAGAATACTTGGAGAAGGTGGTTTTGGACTTGTATATAGTGGCATTCTTGATGATGGAAGAAAGGTGGCTTTCAAGGTTCTTAAAAGAGATGATCATCATGGTAGTCGTGAATTCTTGGCAGAAGTCGAGATGCTTAGTCGCCTGCACCACAGAAATTTAGTCAAGTTGATTGGTATCTGCACAGAGGACCATTGCCGTTGCCTGGTCTATGAACTTGTGCCCAATGGAAGTGTGGAATCCCATTTACATGGTAGATTCAAGTCTAATGAAAGTTGTGCTCTTTAATTATTTTGCATTTATTTAGTTAAAACTTCTTAAATGTCTCGTACGATTAGATTCTTCTGACGAGACTTTTTATATTTGCCATTTTTGTCCATTCTCAGGAGTTGACAAGGAAGCTTCTCCTCTTGATTGGTGTGCCCGAATGAAGATTGCCCTGGGTGCTGCTCGGGGCTTAGCCTATCTGCATGAAGACTCAAGCCCTCGTGTAATACACCGAGACTTCAAGTCGAGCAACATTCTGCTTGAACAAGATTTTACACCTAAAGTTTCAGACTTTGGGCTGGCTAGAACAGCACTGGATGAGGAAACCAAACACATATCAACACATGTCATGGGGACTTTTGGGTATGCACTTCCTATATTCAAATATATTGCTTGTGTATGTACCACCATTGGATTCACACTGCTAGCCCCAAATTATAGTGACATGTCCTTTTGAGCCATCCCTCTTGCTGTGAACTTAATAGTGGATCCCTGCCTGCATACTATAGTTCCCTTTTGTGCATTCTTTGTATTATCGTGCTTTCAAGTCTTATCCCTTGTGACTTACGAACTTCTTGTTATCCAGTTACTTAGCTCCGGAATATGCAATGACTGGCCATCTGCTTGTGAAAAGCGATGTTTACAGCTATGGTGTAGTTCTCCTTGAACTTCTAACTGGAAGAAAACCCGTAGACTTGTCACAGCCCCCAGGTCAAGAAAATCTTGTTGCTTGGGCTCGTCCACTCCTCACAAGTAAAGAGGGCTTAAAAGCAATCCTTGACCCAGCTGTAAAGTCAGATCTCCAGTTTGATGGCATGGCCAAAGTAGCAGCAATTGCATCAATGTGTGTGCAACCAGAAGTATCCCACCGTCCTTTTATGGGCGAAGTTGTTCAAGCCTTAAAGCTTGTTTGCAACGAGTTTGATGAGACAAGGGAGCCCATATCAAGAAGCTGCAGCCAAAAAGACTTTTCTATTGATATAGCTAGTAAGCGTAGCACAGCTTCAGGTGAGCTTGTGGAAGCTTCACGGACTGATTACCCAATGCTTGGCTATGATTCTATCTTTGAAAGTAAGATGGCCTTATCAGCTTCAGATTTAAGAAGTATGCTGGCTGGATTTGAGGGACATGAATTTGGGTCTTTTAGGAGGCAATTTAATTCTGCTCCTTTGAAAATGGGGAGGAGGAGACAGTTTTGGCAAAGATTAAGAGGGCTTTCTAGTGGCAGCATGAGTGAGCATGGGTTTTCAGTAAAATTGTGGCCAGGCTCCCGTTAAGTATTTCCAAACTTCACCCAGTTAATCTTTTCAAATTCAAATGAAGTGTCTTGGAATGGTTTGTATTACACTTTCATGAGCTAGCAAGATTCTTTCACTGTCTCCAGATTGATACAAGTTGTCTGTCTCATGAAGGATCTGAAACGCCTGGAAAGTATCAGCTCTTCAAGGTGTTTTCTAATGCCTTGGTGTTACTCAAAATCTGAGACAAAGTTAATTATGGTATTGAAATATTCAAATGTGAAGCATTCTTGTACTGTATGTCATCTATAGCACATCAATAGATGCTGTTAGATTTCCGGTTTATCGACATAATTATTTAGATTTGAGGTGACTTGAAATCCTTTTGTGAACCCTTGTTCCTTTTATGTGTTGAATAAGTAGTTCAAGTCACCTGTTATTCATATATATATGAAACATTTCACAGTTGCAACATAAGTGATCCCATATCCTCTGTTAGAACTCTTACCCTGTAGTTCTACCTACATATGCCTATCCTTCTTTCTCCCAGGTTTTTGAATCTTGAGAAAATTAAGTAATTTCCCTCAACTTCATTGATTTGTTGTAATGAGAATAATTCAGTAAATTAAGCTAAGAGAAACAGAGATTTGCCATTATTTAACTTGCATATTATGTCAATGGAAAGTAGATTTGTAATGAGCTTTATGGTTATAAATTGATTCTTTGGCGTTTTTCTATGTTGGTTTTTGCGTCAACAATTGCTTGTCTTCATATTTGCTTTAAAGGTGCTTACACACTTGCAATTGATGCACACATGAGTTTAATGATTTAATTGTTTATCTTTCAATTTGGTAAAAGTGGTTTTGGTAATTTTGTCTTGGTTGGGATTATTGTGGGGAATTAGTGTTATTCATCAATTGACAAATCCATTACTTCAATCTACATGATGGGATTTTTGGGTTGTTCTTGTTGAAAAGAGATTTTCACACTTATTTGTACAATTAATTTTAAAAAAGATAATTGTGGTCGAATTAAGTTAAAATTAATGTTTGTTCTATTGTCAAATTGAATTAACCTTACGTGTTTCGTCGTGATGGACAATCCACATTTCGTATTTCTTTTTCATTTTCTGATTTTCAACAGAAACATTAACAAATGGGGAACATATTATCAACATCTAATAACGGAAGTTTGTAGCAATATATCATACATGAAGGGATCCTATCATTATTTGAATAAACGCCAGGGAAGATAATGTAATTATTCTCATTTCTTTTTGTTGAAGTTTTAGAAATTAAAAAAAATTGGTTGTCTAAAAATTCTTCATGGTAATTGGCAAAACTATTAGTTGCTTTATCTTGGAACGATGAGGAGAAACAAGTGGATACTAATGAACCAATGGGTTCTATTATTAAATCCATTTCACTTTTATGAGCCGGAGGATAACCCAGCCCACCTTCTCCTCCACAATTTCCGGAAGGTTTGCATTTCCAATGGCATGTCTCGGTATTAGTGCTGCTACTACAGCTAGTGCTAGCATAATAAATCAGGCTGCTGGACTAGTCTGTAATTCTAATCTTTACAGCCCTGAAGCCATAACCAAACACTCCTCGGTCTCTCCAGTTTTTTCTTTTTCTACACCAAAATTGTCGAGGGTTTCCAGGGTAGGCAACTCTAGCAAACCAAACTCAGTTACGATAGCCCACCACAGAATATTAGTAATCAGAGCAGCTGAAACAGAAAGCATGGCTACTGAGAAATTGGGTATCAAGATATTGAAAAACCCGCCTGAGTCCAAGCTCACTGAGCTCGGCGTCCGATCTTGGCCCAAGTATCTCTCTCTCTCTCTCTCTAATCTTTGGTTTTATGCTGTTATTGGATGAAAAACTGTATCTTCTTTGATTTAGGTTTAGAACTTTAAAAAGGTATTGTTCTTTCCAATGGGATGTATTTACATCTTTGTTTTCTCTGCGATGAAGTTCACCAAATGCTATCTAATTCTTGGCTAAGATATTGCTCTTTGTTTCATCTATTTTTGCTTGAAGGCTGTACAGTATCCAAATACTTTTTCCAGTGGCATGTTTTCTGGCCTGTAATAGATACTATTTTAAGGGAATTATATAGAGATGCTTGAGGCTTGTCTCTAATTACGGTATAATCTCTATTTTGTGAAAAACATTTTTCCAATCTCTCAACTAGTCCATACATTTTTTTTGTGGTCAAGGCTCCTGCACTTTCTTATGATTTGGGACTGAGTCATGTCACATGTGATCCTAATCCCAAGTCTAACAAGACATCTTATTCATCTTTGCGTGGGCAATGGTAGCCTAGTAAAAACCTTTTAGGACCTTTTCTTAAGCTTAGCATAAACTTTTTTTTGGTTTTGTTTTTAATTTTTAGTATCAACAATAAGATACGAAAACAAAAGCAATAAATTTTTAATAGAAATTGGACTTTCTCTATTGTATCAATTTTTTAGTAGCCATGTGGGAAAAAATTATAAATCATACGATTCCATTTACTGTAAATGCTGCCTCAAGTTGGAAAATTGCTGATATCGTACTAGAAGTTCGAGAGTAAGAGTGAAATGTTGGACTTAGCCAGGAAAAAAATGAGCGTGAAATGTTTTTTTAACGAGGAAAGGTCTCTAGTTGGCCTCTTTAAATGCCTTATATTAAGGTCAAGGGTGTTAATCAAGCTAAGCATTTTAAGTTTTAGTATGCTTAGTGTTAGATAGTGTTGAACGTTATAGGCTCGATGCTCAGGTTTCGCTCAACTTATTTTTGTACAATGAGCTCTGATTTGAGCTTAGACTCAAGTTTAGGCTACACTAAATCCAAACTAAATCCAAGCAGCACCCGCCTATTGAGATTTGAAACTACAATCTCTTGATTAAAAATCAAGCGCTTCATCTATCATGTTGAGGGTGCTGCATTGTTGTTTTGTCAACATGGAAATTTCTTATATTTTAACGAATCAAGCTCAAGTCTACCAAATTGAGTTGCACATTGCTGAACATGCTGCCTCATCTTGGGAAATTGCTTATAACCCACTAAAAGTTAAAGAGCAAGAGTGAAATGTTGTTGAAACAAGGCATGGTCTCTACTTGACCCCTTTAAATACCTTATAAAAAGGTTTGTTGTGTTAGTCGAGTTGAGCTCTTTTGGCTTGTTTAGGATTGGCTCGAGTTGATTAATACAAGGTCGAGTTTGGCTCAAGCTCGGTTCGGTTTCTGGACCATAAGTTCAGGTTCTGCTCAACTTACTATTGTACTGTGAGCTAGAATTCGAGCTTAGATACCAGTTCAAGGAGAGTTGAACTCTTAATCTCTTAATTAACAACCCTTTGTCTATCATCCTAAGGGTGTTACTTTGTTGCTTTCACACCAAGAATATTTACTTTATAAATGAATCGAGTTCAAGTTAACCAACTGAAGTGGCACGTTACTGGAGGTTGGATTATTTTGAACAACCTTAAAAATTGGATCATATTCCATACGAATGAGTTTGAACGAGTCGAGACTGAGCCCAATCGAATTGTTTCGTTTAACAGCCAGGTTACTTTATCATGACCATATCGTTAAACTTGACAAGCACCATCTCACTGTTCATGGCATTTACCTGTGAATGTTGGTCGATCTGAAGTTAGTCAAATTTTGAAACGTTGTACAGTGGAGCTTTTTTGTTCGTTGGAGTGGCGGAGTATTCTTCTCAGCAGCAGATCTATTCTGTCTCTATGCCATTTTGTTTATTCATGCACTGGAGGCAATGTATAAAAAGACATGAAAGAGGTTTCAAAATTTTACGTACTCCCCTATTTGTTAATGGTTGTGTGTTTATATTGATTTATATATTTATGTGTGTATACACACATTTTTAAGTTGTGGATATACATGGGTGTAATTCATCAACATTGTGAGTGGTTAAAGCATAAGGGACGAACTTTGCATGCATTGTGACTGCCTGCTAAAAAAAAGAGTCAAACATTTGCTGCCAATTGCGAGTTTTAAGATGCATGCATGATGTCGTTATGCTTGTATAGTAGTATTCTTATAATTTTTTATGGCAATCTGGCTATTGATACATTAATGTGATGGATGCTGTATTGAGTAAATAGGTGGGGATGCCTTCCAAGCAAATTCCCTTGGACTTACTCTTCCAAGGAGACATGCTTCCTTCTGAAGGGAAAGGTGCAGGTTTACCCAGACGGGTCTAAGGAGGCCGTCGAGATTGGTGCTGGTGACTTGGTTGAGTTTCCAAAAGGAATGAGCTGCAGTTGGGATGTCTCCGAAGCTGTGGACAAGCATTATAACTTCGACTAAAGAATTGCCTCATCTAATAACCTTTTGCTTCTATCTGTTCAAATTTTACCTTGTTTACTCCTCCCCCCACCCCCTCCCCCTCCCCAACCCCCAAAACCAAAACCCCAAAAAATAAAAAGTTTGTGGTATACTTTATGTAAGCCACTTGCAGTGTTATTATGCGAAGTTTAGATGAAACCCGCCAACAGTATCTGTTTTTAGCAATGTAAAGTATGGTCGTACAGAAAATCTTGTTCGTCTCTGATTTGATGTTTAGATGATCTAGTGCGTGGTTTCAACTTTCCAACTTTTTTCCTTGCGAAGTGGCTTTTAAGGGGAAGCGAGAGGCCTTGAGCGGTATGTGTGTTCAATCTTGGAATCTGACCCAGTAAAAACTGCATCTTGTATTCACAAAAATGGTTTGTTTGCTGCATTCTTACTTTTTTATTTTTTCCTAGCGGAGATTTAAGGACTTCTTCAATTGTAGATTTCAGTTACTGATCAAAATACCCTACTCTCTTTGCCATTACAGAAATCAGTTTACAATCCCTATTCTCTTTCTTCTAATTCTCTGTTTGTGGCGATACACATTCCGGCAATTAATTCATCAAATTGAAATGACTGTACCAATTACCAATCGAAATGCCAACAATTTTACTTTTAAAAAAAATCCTCCCAATTCATAATTAGTATCGTCTTTCAATTGACACACCTCTCCTTCACCCTTCTCTGTTAGACACCCCCAAGTTTTGTGTGTTGGCACTGTGCAACCATTGGTGTATTACTTGATTAGGGAATGAAGTTTTAAGGGTCGTTTGGTAACGTTTTTGTTTTCGCGTCTTTAAAAAAATTAAAAATAGAGATAATTTTTGTTTCTGTTTTATAATAAATACTAAAATAAAANTTTGTTTTCGCGTCTTTAAAAAAATTAAAAATAGAGATAATTTTTGTTTCTGTTTTATAATAAATACTAAAATAAAAACATGTTTGACAGTCATTTTTGTCTATCAAATTATGAGAATAAAAATAAAAAAAATATGTTTGGTATCCACTTTCAATTTTATCTAAAATATGTTTGATATCTATTTGATAATTAAATCCCAAATGACAATTCAACAATTCAAAATGGAAATTCAATCAGTTACAAATAACAATTTAATCCAAATGATAATTCAATCAATTCNAAACATGTTTGACAGTCATTTTTGTCTATCAAATTATG